CCCAACTGAGCACGTGTAGGATATGATGGGTAGGAGATTGCTCAATTTGCAACGTCCTCCTCAGACTTTAGAAGCACTTCGAGAGGAGTTGGTGGTTGCCTGGAATGAGATACCACAGGAGGACATTGACCACCTCATCAGAAGCATGCCTAGGCGCGTTGGAGAATTCGTAGCACATCAGGGTGCATCCACACATTATTAAAGGTCAAAGGGCTTTAAAGCAGTGCAATCATTTTGAAATTTTTATCATTTACTTATTATGCTTCATTAAGTACTTATACAAAATTTTATTAAAATAAAACCATTTAAACTGGGTGTTCGGATTTATATGTCACTTAGTATATAATGTTATTCATATCTTATATAGTTATACTAGTGAATATAAATTGTCCTTTCAAACGTCATACAGTGATGCAGTATGTTATCAGCAGTATTACACTTCCGATCATCACAGGTAGCACTCGGATAAATGGGAACACTACCTTGATGCATACCTAATAAAGGCGGACAAGTAACATCATTGATTAAGGTTTCCTTATCAGATAACATCAAGCAGACTCTAGTAGTCACTTACGCTCTCTATAATGTCCCAGCTGTGTAGTCCTCGTTGTGAACAAAATGTAAAAACTTCAACACTCAATATGTATAGACAAGAATATGAAGAGAAAAATATCTTCGCAACAAAAGGTGACAGACACATCCGCTTTGTTTTAAAATGTGTATAATATCGTATGTTTTTCGAATATCGTAGCTTATCTGTTCAATCACTTACAAATACGAAATGTTTGAATTTGTTTAGAATAAAAAAACGTAGCCATTCGTTTTTCGCATAAAAATAACAATTATCTTTCGGAATGGTTTGTGTTTGGTATCTGCAGGTAAACTCGTGTATTTTGCTATAACATGCCCTTTGCATGAACCCTGTATATTGCTTAATAAACTAGAAGTGATGACCGGAAGACAGGTATTTTGGGACAAACAATTAGAAATTCTCAAAAACTGCTTGACCAATCGACTCCAATTTTGTTGCGGTTATTTAGACGTAAGCAATCTTCGGACTTGAAGAACTTCAAGTAGCTGCGTTATGCCTCGGTTTTCGGCCAATTCGTTTTTACTATCTAGTGGGATCTTTTTACGTGTGGTCTCATTCTGTAGGTCTCATAAATACCTAAAAATCTCAGGAGTTTTTCTGTTCCTGTCAATACTCTCGATTGAATCCCAAAAAACGCGTTTTCTCATTCTTTGCTTTACCTATAAAAAAAAATAAAAAGCTTTCGTACAAAAACTGGTGTACCCATTTTATGCCTCCATGTTTTAAAGAAATCCTTGAACATCTTGCATCAATAAGACCAGACTTTACTGGGGTATTTTCGTCTAATATGATTGGACTATCAGTAAAATGTGAGTAAATGACATCAAGCTGTCCTTGTTTATCCAAAACAGACAAAGTTGCTCAAAATTGGTTATGTTTGAAACTGTTAGGGCCGGTTTCACCAACATTAATATTATGGACCTATAGGAAAATACCTTATCGAAATACAATTTGACGGAAGCTGTCAAAGGTCTCAGAATATCAGTGATTTCTATTAAAATGTTGAATAAAATCGTGAAAATTCGACTGTATTATAAACCAGACCACTTTTTGATTCCAACATGATGCTTTTGTATAGAGAAAACAGGACAACTTTCATGTATTTTGATTTATGTTATAGGTGTACATTTGACCATCCGTTATCCCCTCAGCGAATGGGAATGGGAGAAATAATAGGTCGATTTTCTAGCTGTTAAATTTGGCAGCAGGTTTGGTCGTTTGTTAATTCATGGCAATCTCGATATTTGTTAAGTTCAATATACTGTGTGTATATGTGATCATTATAGCTGCACATACCTGTTGAATTGTGCGGATTTGCAAGAAAATAGAATATAAAGTGTATTCCAACCAATTCCTCATCTCTCTTTACATCATAATAGTAATCATTTGTTATAAATTCATGGGTTAATGAATTTCTTCAAAGCAATCAAAACAGTATGGTCGTCCCCATCCTAAAACACCGTTATGTGTAAAACATGTTAATCCCTACATCTCCGAGGTGCATAATGCAATTACTGTAAACATAGACCTAAAATTATTAGTAATTACTGAAAAATAAGATCTAAAAAGAATCATAAATAGTGATAAAATATTGGTGGTTGAGGTTTTTGACTGGTGACTAGTGGGAATACAATATAGGGATGGCGACGTTAGACGATACATTGATGTATCGAAAACATCGATACATCGGTCGTAGAACATCGATCTTTACGCATCGATGGTTTCATGACGATATATCGATATCGAGAGGAATCATAAACATCCGTAACCGTATACCCCGAGTCTATCCTTAACTGTGCTACCATCTCTAAGCGAGGACTGGTAGCTTCGAAATTGAAAGGCCAGAAAGCTATTTAGGTGTTTAGTAGTATTTGAATATTATCATTTCAGACGAGCACTGAACCACTGAGTGGCCACTGAGCACTGTAGTCTCTTCTTCATTCTGTACTTCCCCAAGGGATAGAATAAAATAGACTGAAAACAGCGCGTTTAATGATTTTCAGTTCTCAGAGAAAGATTTTCCCCTGCAGGCCCTTGACATTGTTTCGAAATATGAAATTCTGGAAACGCTATAAAAATAAAAATGAATACACAAAGCCTACTTACCTATTTCAGACAAAAACAAAAGCAACTGCCACATAACGATTGTCAACTTGACATCATTCTGCAATCTGTCAAAGTAGTGATGGGCGTGTCTGCTGCACGGTATACGGTATCGATATTCGATAAAATATTTTTCTTTCTACCATGAATGCTTGGAAAAGACAAAATAAGGAGAGATCTAAAATAAGGAGTTATTGAAGGCCTAAAATAGCCAGGCGCTAATAATTCCTTTCCGTATTTGAATATCTAAGCAAGCACAGTAAAACAAAAATAAAACTTGGAATTAATAAAGTTTATTTCGACAGTTGGCAGAGTTTGCTCCACTGGGACGAAGTGTTGACGGATCCCACAGAATTATGTGTCACTTGTCGATATGGTTAGCTTTAAAATATCAGGAGATAATCAGATGTTATTCAAATCAGTGTTTATGTTTTGTGCTTCAAATAACGTCTAATATAAATATAACCCAGAATATGTACTCAGTGAAAAAAGAAAAAGATTGCAAATTTCTAGTTTTTCTGCAGCTTTTAGGTTTGCTGGTAGCTCTACGACATATATTTGGGTATTTCTTAAAAGCTGTGAATATAGTGTGGATGTTTGTTAAGTTCCTGAACAACGAAAAATACTCAACTTTATGGATGTATTGATATTAAAAAACCAGAATGGTTTTGTGGGAATATCAATCTAAGGTGCCATAATGGTTCTGATGAACGGCAAGTAAATGAATGAATGTTTGGAAACAAGCAATATTTATGAACTTTTTGGTAGAGCCAGTCATCAAGTAGGTGCTTAATCGCTATCTTAAAGAGGTTTATAGGAAAAAACACCCAGTAGATGATCTTGAATCAGTAAAATCGCATATCAATTGAAGAAAATAATATAATCATGAATAAAAAATCAACAGTAGTAATTCAATCATGAATTTTATTCAAAAATCAAACATTTTTTTAAATTTTGACTGAATTATATATAATTTCTTAATATGCAATAAGCTGGTGATGTTTCAATAACAAGCTGTCATCTCACACTTTGACAGTATTTTTTTTTCAACATTTCATAGCTATTGGCTGCTAAAATTTGTTGATTGGAACTTGAAGCTCATTCGCTGTATTTGACGGGCTGTTACCCTATAGGTGGAGAATAACGGACTGTTGTTGGTGAAATTGGCCCTTAATCTTGTATTGATGAAACCACGCTGACAATCTGAAATGTACATAGATGTTTTTGAATAGATCCGATCATGTATTATAATTTCAAGTAATTTTGCAAAGTTATTCAAAATACAAATATTAAATTATTGTAATTGTCATTGAAACATCGAACAATGAACAGGAATTCAAACATATATGTATACTGAGTGACAAAAAAAGTTAAACACCTATGTATATAACATTCAACTGACACCGTAAATGTACGAAAACTGAATGCTTCTTTATCACCATACAGTACACGCAACCACCTAAAAAACGTAACAGAAGAACCTGGCCATTTTATCACTTGTTCATGCCAAGGTAAATCGTTACATAAAAAATTCTTGATTCTAATAATACGTAGGTGCTTACCTTTTTTGTCACTCAGTATAATTCGTGTCGGCTAGAAAATGTCGTATTATTTCAGTTCTCTTGAAACATACGCTTTCCGCCAATATAGATAGATAGATAGATACATTTATTGTCTTGTAGATAATAAAATGACATAAGACTCGTCCTAAGGGGGAGGTACATAGTACACTTAATTAAAAGTAAAAACATAACAAACATAAGTATTTACAAAGTACAAACAGGAACAACTTAAGGCGTACATACATTCACATATAAAAACAGTTTTAAAAATATATCACAGTGCGAGGTATTCAGACGAGTAGAAACATTTTTCAACTAATAATTTTCGTAGCTCACACTTAAAACTAGCAATACTGTATCAGATTTTAACGATGAACTTCAATAATCAAGCGTCAGTAAGGTCAGTTTCTTTTCTCATATCGCAACGGTCAATCGGCCTGTGGAAAACCTAGCAAGTATGTAAATCAGCTTAGCCAACATCGATGGTAGGCCATGTGCAAATAGAGAGATAACTGCTGTACGACCACCTCAACGCGACGATAGCTATATTTATTTATAATAAACTGATGATCAATCATGTCGGATGAACACGACAGATCAGTCGCTATAAACGCCTCGCAGTTGCTTATCGAGAACAAACAGTTTAACCGTCCGTCGCGTCGTTGAGAAAATAGGTGTGAAAGGTAGTGCCGGTCTGATATCATGTCCAACTTATATCTGGCCTTAATCTGTTCAGTATTTACCATGTATGGCTTTTCAACATCCTTACGTATTTCACTAGGCAATTTTCCAATTCCAGATATAACCTAGAAAGGTATCATTCAAATCATACAAAAAATTAGGCATCCGCAAACGAACGACTCGTACGAAAATTGTATTTTTGGAATTACTCGTGCAAGTAATTTCTATAAAGCGTCCGTAAAAACGTAACTGGCACTGCAAAAGGTGTTGCTTGATTAACTGAATTTCTTTTATTTATTTATGTATATGTCGGCGTCAAACGCTGACATCCTGCCTAGTTGGTCCCCGTATTGCCGGCAAATACCGTAACAGTGATTATTACAACGTTTGACTAAGCATTTCAGTCATTCCCTATAATGACTGAACAATTTCAGACAAACACCGTAACAACCACATTAACTTCATTACTGCATTCGCCTATTTTGGTCAAACGCTGTTAGCAATACAGTGTTGCTCCAATGAAGTACATAATACCACAAGGTACTACTTTATCAATAATATTAAAAGAAAAAAAGTTAACCATGAATTAATCTAAAAGGAAAGAAGAATATATGAAAACTTTGTCTCTTTTATTACATTATTGTGGACGTTATTCATTAATGTATTAAATCTTCAAGAAATATCCTGAAACTATCGAAATAAATATAAAACAATAAATACACATTTTAAATAAATGCAGAACTGTGAGTAGTGTCAAACGAATAAAAGTTACATAGAATTATCTTATATATTCTATTATTTCAAACATTATTTGTTAGTGCATGTTAGACTCATATGGCACCTTCAATTACAAATAAGCTTTTTTTTAAACAAACACATCCATTGGATAAACACTTCTTTTCGCTGGTTTACAGGAATACTCAAAATGTCCTTGGCCCCCCTCTAGCGAAAGTGACTGCACAGCTTCACGTATTGATAAAACTTTTTCAGAAATAGCTTTCATTTGTTATAAGTTCAGAAGAATTAATATAATCTCCTGATGGCGAACCGTGCGTGGAGGGCCTGTATTGTTGATATAACTCCAGTGTGGAATAATACGCAAAGTTGGGGTTTTCCTTTTCAGAAACAACTACCTTTGAAATAACAAAGGTAATGTGTAGTGAAACGAGGGCGACCAAGTAAAAAAAATAAAGGAAAAAGTACTCACTCTCCAGTTGACGAGAAGGGCTAAGTACGTCTCTGCCCGAAATCATACCGCTCCAACAGAAAATGAAATCAGCTGATGCGCTACCGAGCAGACGCAGAAACCACATTGATTGTCTTACACTTAATGGCACATCTTCTAACAAGGAAGGCAAAATGTTGCGTAAAAAGTTTAGGTATTGCATCCCGTCCAATCGATTTGGGAGAATAAATGGTCCAATGAGCATACCGTTCACCATGCCAGCCCAAACATTCACCGAAAATGTTTGTTGAAAATGTGTCCGACGGACAGCGTGCGGATTTTCTACTGACCAAACATGAGTGTTGCGAAAGTCATTCGCCCCATTCGTCTGTCACCAATATGCACTTTAAAAAGTCCGGATTATTGTCATGTTGATGCAACAACCACTCACAAAACCGCACTCTTGGTGGAAAATCGTCAGGTTGAAGGGCTTGTACACGTTGGACGTGAAACGGATACAGCCCCTCTTCACTCAGCGTTTGCCACACTTTAGTTTTTGATACTTGCACTTCTCTAGCCACGTCTCTAGTGCTTGTTGAGGGATTCTCGTCTACGCGATTACCTCTACACGCGTGACCGTAACCGTCGGTTGAAGGTTGCATACTGACCTGACACACTGACCCCGACCCAGTTCTGCCGTCGGGTTGAGCCAGTGACCTTGTACCAGTCGGTGATGTCACGGCTACAGGACGGTATTCAGATATTTTTGATGTTGTAGAGCCCTTTATCTCGGTTCCCTTAAGTCATTGGTGTATATGGTACTAAGAAAAATTGCTTATGTAGATCTACACGTCGTGTAAAGGAAAACCCCAACTTTGCGGACACCCTGTATATTTTTTTATCAAGAATTTATATACGAAATCCGACAACAATGCATGCTGCTGTCGAGCAAGCCTATGTACATTATAATTTAGGTTAGGTTCACAAAATTATAAAAATTAATTTACCTCCTTTACCTCATTTGTATTCCATGGCTTTTTCTTATTCACACTGTCATAGTATTCAGTAGTTTCTTGTAAAACAATTCTGAATGCTGTCACATTTTTACAAACACAAAAAAGACAATGTGTATACTCAAGGAAATGAACACAAAACTGGTACAATAAATGACTGAACCAGGCAAATGCAGTAACGAAGTTAATGTGGTTGTTACGGTATGTGAAGTTGTTCAGTCATTACAGGGAATGACTGAACTGCTTGGTCAAACGTTGTAATAATCAAACTCTTACGGTGTTTGCCGAAAATACGGGGACTGACTAGCCATTTCAAGGAGTGACGGATTTCAGCGTTTGACGCCGACGTATACACTATTCAACAGCAACAGTCATTTAGAGAGTAAGACACAGTCCGGACTACAAAAAAAACATAATTATTCTATAATACATGCAAGAGTAGGTAGTTCAAACACAAAGGTGCTATTTACAAATATCATAATGCAGATAAGAGAGCAAAAAACAGACAAAACCTCACAGAAATATACCCAATAGTTCTGAAACGTTATTAGCCCTACCACAATAGTAAAATAGTAGAGAAAACTTTAAGATGTTTGTTCTAGGGGTGGACAAATAAAAAGTATCAAATTGTCTAGAATTTAAACGTGAAACAAGAAAATTAATATTGTGCAATATATTGCAGCAATCGATACAATAAATTGTGCAATATACTCGTAGGTATTACGCACAAAATTAACGGAGCACTTATCACGCCTTTCCCTGAGACTTTCTAGATCAAAGGCTTCCTCTAAGATTATTTGTGGGTTGCCAATTGGTGGGTAACTGCCATTTTCCTTGAAATGTAGGTACTTTAGTAAAGGTCGCTGCATATTTTCAAGTTTAACCATCCAAAAGGTATAGAAAAGCTGCCAAACAGTAAATTGATGCTTAGATATTCATCCTTTGAACGAACAAGTGAGCAATATAAAAGCTTAATTATTGCTTTAATGTCTTGTAACTCACCACCACAGCGTAATAAAGCCTAATCTTTTGTAACACTCAACAGTATTATCTCCATATGTCTATTGAAGCAATACTGACCATTAAAAATGATTATAATTTACAAAAATGTACCCACGACTTGTTTACTTTATTTAACTCCATTCTATTATTATAATTTCATGAAAAGGACTTTCTTATTTCTTTTATTACAACCCATTTTGTGAAGTTATTGTACTTGCGCACCATTTGACTCACAAACTATTGCTACTAAAACTTTTCACTCGTTCAGAGGTATGCTCAGGATGATATACGGCGAGATTCAAATTTGGCTATAGGGTGCGATTTCAATGTTGCGAGAGAGAAGCGCGAAAAGTGTATACAGGCACATACGCTAGAAAGAGATAAAAGCCGGCTGGACTGCCAAGCTCATCGCCACGCTGCCTAACAACGCGACACGGCAACCTGCCGTGTTGTCAATTTGTTACATCAATTCGTTGAATTAAGATGCATATTGAGAATATGCGTTACTTTATTCTTTACGCCTGAATAATGGTTTTATTTTGAGCGTAAGCATTTTTGAATTGTGAATTATGTAGAATTTGCTTAGGATTGATTCAGGATCGGTCCTAAAGGCTTTTCGTATTAGGTCGAAATGAAAGGTCAGGATCGCCACAAATTCTGCAACATTGCATCATTGGTTCGTTTGACAACACCGCGTGTTGTACATTCCAAGGCAAGGTTTCCACCTACATAGATCATAGTTGAGCGATTTTGGCAATGTTGCCGAACCTTCCCATTTTTCGGCATTTCTACCGGAATGAGATCTTATTTTAATTATTTTGGAAATAATTTTTCCGGACGCCTGATCTCTACACATGGCAATATAGAATGGCCAGTGAGATCCCCTGACTTGGCTCCTAATGATTTCTTTACGTGGGGATATGTGAAGACTTGCATTTACGTTTCCCCATGAACGGGCTACCACTTTGGAGGAGTTGCGGCTACCATGCTAGAAATTGTTCGCAAGTGCTTCTACAATAGGTTGAATTACGGTCAAACCCAAGCAGGAGGTTTGTTCGAACATTTAATTTGATATTTTGATTTCATTTTGATTAGAATTATGTATTTATTTCAATTTTGATGCAACTTATTTTTTAATTCCTTTTGGCATTATGTTTGATTACAACCGAAATGTCGTCAAGTAGGTTGACTTTGCACTTCTTATGCAGCCTCGTCATCAGTTCATGAAGCTCCTGAGAAAAAAATAGTAACGGAAATAAAATGGAGAAGTAGAGAAATTGAATGTAGAATTGAATGGATCAAGTCAGTGAAAATCTATACAATTAGTCAATTGACATCCTTTCCCTGCCCTACTGGTAGCTACCGTCCATCTGGCAACCTTGTCCCTTCTCATATCATCTGATGCGTCAGCGCCCACCGAAGTACCGACGCAGTACGACGCGTATCGAAAACATTTATCTACCATTTTAAAGACACATGTAATGGGAAACTTATACGTGCATAGAGTTACCGGGGCTGTGAGCGAATAAATATATTAACGTCAAAACATTGAGACAAACCATCTCCCACTCTCTAAAACCCCGAACCCCCTGAAATCGTCCGCCGTCTAAATTTTTTTTCAAAAATGATTAGGATACTTTGGAAGGTCAAAAAACGAAGTTTGAGCGATTTTTGTTTATTTCGTTTTTGTCCTTTTCTCCGCCTCCATTGGACCAATTTTCAACAACCACAAAACTTTTGCGTAGTAGCAATGCTGTGTATAAATTTCATCAAAATTCGATTAGTGATCTCCAAGTTATAGAGGGGCCAAGAATTACTGGACAGACAGACCGACAGAGTGACATACTGTTTTGTAATATAATGGGTGATTTTTTTGCTAGTATCTTTTTGGCAACACTGTTTTTGTCAGATGTCGCGTTCGTGTCTTGTGTCATTGTCAAACTTG